GCTACTTTGAAGGCCAGTGAGCCATTAAAAATCTAATCTTTATACCTTGAACAGCTTGCCTGTGGCCTGCTCGTGGGGAAGAACGAGCCAAGGAGAGAACCCACAAGAAGCCAGAACACGGCCAGCCATTTTTGCGAGAAACCAAAGCCCTGAAGCGTCTGGTTGTAATCGCTATTGTTGGCTATGGAAAGTGGAGCGACGGTCAAAACATCTTGTGATCGCTACAGTGCAAACCTCAAATTAATTTTTGTTTATCAAAATAAGTAGTGATCCAGCTGTTTCGTGTGGTTGACACGGATATGGTAACTGGATGGGTAATATCGGGGGAGGCCCGCCCATCGTATTGTATAAAGCCGAGGGCATTTGTGTTTCATCAAGCGCAAGATTGTCTTATGCGGATGAGTACTAACAAAAAAAAAACTCCATAGATCGCTTTTTAGTTTTTAGCGTGATTATAATAATTCACACTAATAAAAATTTAATAACATGCATAATAAATAATTTGATTATAATAGAAAATCGTGGTCAAAAGGTGAATGAATAGTGCAAAAATCACAATGTTACAATTAATAAAAAACAAATGAACAATTTCTAAAATATGATTATCTTAAATGTCTCACACCGGAAACATTTGGATGAACAAAGTGCTATATTAACACACGGGCTACTCCTCCTATCAGGTTGACCTTTTAGGATGGAACCCCGTGTCTTAACATGGTATCAGAGCCAAATCGATCCATGGTGTGGGGCCCCTTATGAATCGTGATGACACGATTATTAAAAAAATGACAATTACGTCCGGATGAAAAAAAATGAATGATTGCACGATCCAGACGAAGTGTCTGATCGTGAGGAGGGGTGTTAAATGTCCCACACCGGAAACATATGGATGAACAAAGTGCTATATTAACACACGGGCTACTCCTCCTATCAGGTTGACCTTTTAGGATGGAACCCCGTGTCTTAACAGATTAAAAGATGTGATAATTCTTAAAATATGACTAATTGGTACTCTAGTTATCCCACTTAAAAATTCTCATTTTCCTTTTTTGACATCCCATAAAGGTTCCAAATTCTATTTTAGAAAACAGTTAGCACTTTTAAATGACAATTTAATAATCAAATACGGAGTATAAAAAAATAATACATCTTCAACATCAGATTTATCATCAATGACATTATTATGTTATATATTCATCAAAACAATTTTTCAAAATATGCTTTTATAATCTTATTTAGTTATCTAAATAATCGTGTCATTTGACAATGAGAACTTTAAAACGAGAACAAATGTGGTATTTTATTATTGAATTAATGGTGTTTTGCATATATAGTACTTATTTTGATGTTATTTTTCTTGCTTTCGGTTTAATTATATTAAGACATACTTAAATTTTGTAACACCTAAACAAAATCTTATCTTCCTATATGTATGTGTGTGTGTCTGTGTGTGTAGAATTGGGATCATATACAAACCCAACTTAATTTACAAAATGCAAAGTAATCACAACCGTCCATCTAAGCCTAATTTTTGTGTGCCGGTTTTAATTTCAAGCGCTACACCGAATTCACGTGAGGGTGTTTTGGCCATTGCTTATTTGTCCAAACATGGAAATACAATCACATGCCAGCTTTCTTCCCTTAATACTCTGTTTCCATATTTGCGATCAACACCACGTCGTCCTGCTCGACTCACCCATGCGCTTCATCTGCTTCTCTTCATTCTTGTGTCGTTGAAAGGCTAGGTTAGGATGTCGTCAAACGCCGTGAAATCTGAATCAGGTGCGCTTCTATGAACTTTGTTTGGATACAAAAAATCTTCCTAAAACATTGTTTTAATACCGACGCGTCTGAATTGTGTTTGACTCCAAAAAATCTCAATTGACATTTAACGCCTAAGAGTTGCAGATTATGGTGTGTTTATTTATTTAAAATGAAAATTCATAAAACAATTAACAATGCTACTGTCACATTAAAATTCAATCGGGAAGGCAGTCAAATGTGTAATTGAAAAACAATGCGCTGCTTATAAATTAAGCGTGGTGTTCTTAAATAATTTATTTAACTGTGTTTATGATTGAACTTTTAGTTGAAAATTGGTGGGCATAAACTAGACTTGATGAAAAACATGTTCTCAAATTACCTTGTCCGGGCGGTGGTTCCCGTCAGGCCAGCTGAACATGAATGCTACTCCGTACACACACACAAAATATAAAGCGAATAAAAAATATGGCCAAGGTCTCACCTGAATATAAGTTTGATTGCAACACATGGGGTGAAAGTGTCAATTTGAAGGTTTTTACCATGAGAGTGCTACAATCTGGGGGGCTATTTAAAGGGTGCCAAAGTGAGTATATGTTACCTAGTTGAGTTAATTTGGTGCCCTGATTCATCGAAGAGGAAAAGAGAAACACTCTCGTGTGCAAGAAATGACCTGAGGCCTAGGAATGTAAGAACCCCTTTCTTTAATGTATTAAGATTCATCCAGTTTTTATAAAAAGTATATCAAGATTCATAAGTTTTTAAGATCTTATATACTTATATAAAGTTTTAAGAATATGAAATCTCAAATGTCGAAGATTTTTTTACTCTTTTTAAGTAGATTCAAGTAGTAAAATTAAGATCTCATGATTAAAATAGCTTGTTTTACATCTTTTGGTGGAGAGTTTAACTTATTGACAGAGTTTGGTTGAGCTTAGTAATAACTTAGCATAAGGGTTATAAGCAAGTAAAAATGATCAATGGAACACACCCATTTAGGCAATTGATGCTCACTGTTCAATTTTTTTGAAAGCGTCGAGTAAGGCCCCTATGGTGACCATATTTTCAACCTATTAATCAATTTTTCATTAAACATGTACCTTTTGATTTCACATTTTATATTGCATGTATAATAATCAAAATAAATAAGGTTGAAATTATTTTTCTGGTTGAATTTGTTGAAGTTACTCTAGGGGTGGTCACTTTAACTATTTTCCATATAATTTTTTTATTTTCTTAATAAAATATATTTTAAATATAATTTTTACACAATTCAACAGATTCACCCAATTCAGTCAAAATTTCACCAATTTCAGCAGATCCAAACAATTTTAATATTAACTATTGTTAATTCATTTCAAACAATGCAAATTGGGGCTATTTGTGGTATAGAAAATCTTGTGGTGTAATAACTTGCTGGAGTGTAATATCTTAGTGTATTAATTTGTGGCTCGTGGTGTTTTAATGCATCAAGATAATTTAATTGTTATTGAACAGATAAAAAGATACTTAAAAAGTTTAACAAAAAAAGATAATTTAATTGTTCAAGTCAAGTAATTAGTCAAATATACTTAATAATAATAAAGTCACTCAAAACATTTTTTGCCGAAGGGTTATAAGAAGGAGATTTCTTGTATAGAATGATGAAACTAATTTTAAATCTGACATAAAACATATCATATGAAATTAGGACAAATCACGTTAATATTGACACAATTCATACTTCTTAATCACCAATTAACATGGAATGAAAATAGAATTTTAACATCATATAATATACAAACAACACATATTGATCAGTAAGATTTTGGACGTTAACACATAGCGCCATTCATTAGAATTTAGAAACAAATACATATAGTCGAGTATATGAAATTGTGCATATCTCAGAGTGGTTTATTAATGAACGAATCATAATCGTGAGGATCTTCTACAGTTCCTAACCTCTGAAATAATCCTCTTCTTTAGACCCTCTAATAGAATAAGTCATAGAAAGAGATGCAAGAAAAACAATAATGAAAAAAACAAAGGGATCTATGTGCTAAAATTTGATATCAAAATATCAAATGGATTTGTTAAAAAAAATATCAAAGGGATAGATTAAGATCTTGGTGTATTATAAGTTAATACGAAGTATGTACTATAAAACTCTATAACATGTACACCACAAAATATGGAGATCGATAAACGTGTTTGATTAATCCCTTCATATCACCTAACATTTATCATATTTCAAGTTTACGGATGGTTGTAGATTGTAGTCATACCCAGTCCATTCCTATGAGCTCTCAAATTTTATTCTTACACTTACTTTAAAGTTCAAATGTAAATCAATGTTAATGTTCAAATAAATAATACTTAATGCGCGCGCACATATATAATATATATATATATATATATATATATATATATATATATATATATATATATATAGATATATATATATATATATATAGAATAAAGATCAAATGAGAACGGTGCTTAACGTGAGAACCCGTGAGAACCCCTGAGAATGGTGATATTTTTGGCTGAAATTTTTTGTGTATGTTCCTCATCAAATCTAGTTCATCCATATCAAATTTGAACAAAAAATTCAATCGGGAAGGTCGTCGAATGATTTTTGAAAGAAAACTGGTCCGGAACATACATATAAAACGCAATTTTCTTTCAAAAAATCATTTGACGACCTTCCCAATTGAATTTTTTGCTCAAATTTGGTATGGATGAACTATACTTGATGAGGAACATACACAAAAAATTTCAGCTAAAAATACCACTGGTTCTAAGGGTTCTCATGAGTTCTCATTTTAAGAGGGGTTCTCACTAGCTAGAACCCTCCCCTATATATATATATATATATATATATATATATATATATATATATATATATATATATAAGTTATTAGAGTAGAGAGTTGAAAAGGAACACAATAAAGTTATGCCACACAAAAAGGGCATTCATAACTAGTTAAGACTAAATGAGTTACTTGTAAAAATTCTATAAATTGTTCACCCCATAGATAAAATTTATTAATCCTATTAAAAGAATAAGTTGATTAAAACGTCACAAAATAGGAGTGATTGAATCTTATTTTGGGAATAAAATAAGGAGGATTCTATGGTATCTCAAGGTGCGTACCATACCTTTGTCCACATGCATCAAACGTATCATACCTTTGTCCACATGCACCAAATGTATAATACCTTTGTCCACATGCACCAAACATAATGCTGGAGTTGAATAATTTACATGTAAATAGAGAATGATATGATAATTTGGACAAGTCAAGTGAGTCATAGCTACGATGCCTCATTTTTAAATGGATACCATAGTTGAATTGTCACCGATATAAAAAAAATTGTATTTATGAACTTTTTCCTTGCATGCCTATAATCATACTTAGAGAATATTCTGTTGAATTTGATGGTAGAAAAATGATTGTCGAGGAAGCATTTGCCATCAGAAGGAAACATCAAAGGAGTATTCGGACTTTACAATGCCAACCTTCTTCCCCGGTTGGAGATTGTCGACGACGAGGGAGCAGTTGACGTAAACAATGGCTTCCCTGAACGCAAAGCTCCCCAAGACCACTTTGACCGGCGCCTTAACCATCACGAGCAGAGGTATCTTCCCGGTCTCTTTATTCTCTTGAAAAGCTTGCTGGATGCCCGACCCGAACTCGCTAACCCCTTCCATCCGGATCTTCATCACCGTCATGTTCTTCGCTCCTTGGTGGAAGTTCGGCAGCTTCCCGGAGGACAAAATGGAGTCGGCGTAGGTGACGACGACAGAACTGTTCTTGCCGTAAATGAATCCGATGTTGGAGTTGGGGTTGTCGGCCGTGACGGTGACGATAAAGACGGTCTTGAGGCTAAAATCCTTCTGGACATCGAAGTTTTTGACGTCGAGGCCGTTAACGTTATAGGAGGGGATCTTGGGCTTGTAGACGGTGTACACATAGAAAGCGATGCCGCCCAAGGCGAGGACGAGAAGGAAGAGGAAGCAGCAAAAGAAGCATATGCATTTGCAACAACACCCACTCGACGATCTCCTGGTTTGGTATCTAGGGATGTTCCGGCGGTAAGGCGGTTGCATGGCTTAATTGTATTAATTATTTAATTAAATAATTAATGGTTTTAATTGCCAATATGTATGATGGTTAGAGTAGCATGCATGCATGGTTGGGAGTTTAATTTGGTTTTGTTTGCATGTTTGGTGGTGGTGATGGTATGTTAGATTGTTAACTAGATGATGACCGGATACAAGATGCATGGAAGACGACCACCCCACGTACCTACAAATTAAAATAGAAGAGATAATTTATGATGTCCGATATAAGACTAAAGAGAGATTTACCTAAATAGGACTAAAACATATGAAAAACTCCATTATAGGACTACTAGTTTCATCTGGAGTAGCGTAGGACTAAAATAACGGTGGAATGCCGAAATTACCCTGCGCCTCTCTTCTTCGTTCGCCACTTGCGAGCCCTGCTGCGATCTCAAGCCCTGCTGCAGGTTTCACAGGTAAGTTCTTCTTCTTCCTCTTCCTCCTCTTCCTCTTCTTCTCTTCTTCTCTCCCTTTCTCTCCTCCTCTCTTCTATTTTCTTCCTCCTCGTACTATGTTTCATTTTTATTTTGATTTTTTAATTTTCAGTCCACTTTCTTACTTTTGTGATTCTAAAAAATTATTTTAGATTAGAAAATTGTGGATGAGAAATTAAAACAAAGACGCAACGATTTTCTAATCCTCCTCAAATTTCTAGTCCTCTGTGTTCTCTTTTAATTTTAAATTTTTTGGATTTGAACTTAATTTATTAATTTGGATTTTTGGATTTGAATTTTATTTATTCAGCAAAATGCCACTTTTATAATAAGAGAATGTCAAAATTATTGGCTATTTGAAAAAATGTCAGGTTTTTGGCAGTATATTTTTCAGGATGACAATATGAAAATGTCATATGTCCATAAGAAAATGTCATTCTTATGGGCATTCTATGGCATTTTTATGGCTTATCTAAGAATGACATAACTGCTTGTTATTACAAATGACATGTTTTCTGACATGTTTTCCAAATGATGTCATTTTTATCTTAAACTCTCTCTTTAAAGATGGATATATGTAATTGCCACATTCATGACATTTTGAGAGCAAACACATCATTTCAAAAAACAAATAACAGAGGAAGAAGAAGAAAATCCATGGAGGAGAAAGAGAGAAGGAGAAGAAGAACGACTGTCATGTTGTTACATATGTAATTGCCACATTCATGACATTTTGAGAGCAAACACAACATTTAAAAAAAACAGAGGAAGAAGAAGAAAATCAATGGAGGAGACAAAGAGGAGAAGAATAAATCAGAGGAGGAAGAGCTGAATTTCTGAAATTGGTGGAGTTTCCAATAAACATATTGCATGGAGATGGAGGAAGCAGAACAAGATCAAACCTGGAGTACTTTGAGACATAGCAGGAGAAGAAGATTGAACTTGGAGACTATGTAGCAGAGAAGAACGAATAGTGCAGGAGAAGAGAAGAACGGACTGTACATGTGAAGAAGATCGATGATGTCGGAAGCGGTGTCTATGATCAGGACAGAGCGCGCGATGAGAAAAGCAAGGGCAATTTGGACAATGAATAAATTAACGGCTTAAACTTAAATTAGGAGCGGATGACTCCTATAATGGAAAAAAAAGATGTTATGTCCTACTTTGGCTTTTTATCTATGTTTTAGTCTTATTTAGGACAATTTCTTAAGACTAAAATATGGTGAAATTATAAAGGTGGAGTGGATGTAAAAAATCTCTAATTTAGAGAAATAATTGTATTGTATTCTTTAAAAATTGAACTTAGCGAGAATGTGGTCTTGAAGCAAGAATAATATTATATTGCAACTATCAAGTCAAATTGTTATCATCTAGCAATAAAGCCACCCTCAAAGCAACATGATTGGAATCTTGTTATCAAGTCCATTTGTATTTTTGTTGGTCTATTGATTGGCTGGAAATACTAGTAAAAGTTATCATCGATATCAACTTGTATTGAAAAATAAAAATGTTATGTTGATTGTACAAAAAATATCATATCGATTGCATCATGAAAATTAACATGAATAGGGGTATGTTAGATATCACACAAATAATGAAATTAAATTAAAGCTCTGAACGGGAGCATTTTAATCCTAAAATGGAAATAAATTATAGACCTCGCATGACACTTTGATTATGTTTTAGTCTAGCATATGACAATTTCATACTACCTCCGTTCCAAATTGATTTGCAAATTTGACTTTTCTTGGTCAAACAGTTTCATTTTGTTCACTTAATTAGGATGTCAATTTTTAATTATATTTTTATTTGAAGTTTACAACTTTGAAGATATTTTAATATAGTTTATGAATATGTAAATTTTAATTATAAAAAATTGAATTAATTATCCATAAGGAGCATTGACTTTTATTATTGGTTGACCAAAAAATGTTGACTTTGCAAAACAAATTGGGACGGAGGGAGTATTAAAAATACTGCCTACCAAGCCTAAAAAATTACTTGTGGCCCGCAAAATTTTACTCCGTATAATTTATTGCTATCCACTCAAAGATTGCAAAACTGCTGACCATTTTTTACGGAGTAGTTAATATTGCATGAGTATATGTAATAGTGATTGTTATTTCTTGTAGTATGGATGTCTGTCGTGCAGGAAGACTTGTAACACTTTTTTCTGGTATTTTATTTCCGAAGCTTTTACGCATTGTAGATTTGTAGTAGTTGGTGTTTCAATTTTTATGCCACCTTACCTGATGTGACTAAAAATGTGAGTGGTTAATCTTTGAGTGAATTCATAAAGTAGGTTAAAACACGAGTTAATGAAAAAATAAGAGTTATTATTTTAAATTTTCCGAATATGAATAATTATGTGTGTTTGGTTAAAAATAACATTGCAAGTGTTTGGGCTGCCACCACCTAGAACCAGTCACTGGAGCTCTGCCGTCGCAGTTGGCTTGCCACCATCACCGGACTAATTGACTTTAGTCATGCAAGGGAATTAGGGGATAATTAATTATACTAGGTGTAGAAAGTTGATGTTTGGTTCTATTTACATAATACTATACATTATATTTAGGTTTAGTTCTATTTAAGATTATTTTTCTTATTCTCATGCCACAATACCTCACACGTTTCCATATTATCTCCACAAAACTACTCTCAATAAAACTTTTCCTTGTGTTTACATTTTTTGAAGATTACTTTTTATTAATCTAGAAGCTTAAGGGGAGAGAAACCTTACGACTTAGTGGGGTTAAGGGGTTGTTTACCTATTTGGCTTTGTTGAGGTTTATTCCTTCAACCCGTAGGTCCAACACGTAAGCCTGTGGATTTCGAGTGGATGATGTATGTGAATATGTGAAAATAGCAAGTAAGATGGGTTTAAAGATGTATGCAATAGTGGGCCGAGTATTATTAAGTGATAATAAAGCCTCATTACATTGCACTAATGTTATTGGCCAACGGCCGTTCATCTCACACTCAAGTATAAGAGCTGCGAACAATGTTTAAGAGCTATCAGAATGCTAGAATGCTAAGGCGGGTAAGTTGACAATCATTTACAATGAAATAAATGCTACTATTTATACCACCAAGGGGCAGTTGGATATGTTGACGCCTGACGTGGAGAGCTGTGGATGGAGGAGGTCCCAACCACCAAATCTCCAGCATTAAATGCGTTTTCCGCCAGAATCTTGGTTTCCCGCCCAGTTGTTGGGGACGAACGTGCTTGAGGGATTTGATCCTGTCATTGGGGATACCATCAAGGGGGGAAAGTCATACGTCTTCTGGCTGATGGTGTAGGATTATGTTGGCTATCCTTGGGCCAAGACTCCTTGATCTGGGGGGCCGTAGTGGAGACGTACGTCGTCGTTGCCTTGGAGGGTACTTGCTGTTCATGGAGGGCACTTGCTTTTCATCCATAGAGACATTCGTCTACACCCGATTCCCTTGTTGGGCCTCCTTAACGTTCGTCCACGTACGGGTTAAATGGGCCAACCTTCTAATTGGGCCATTAACTCAACAGACTTAGTAATGATAATACTATACTGACTTAATCATTCAACCATTAAGTCGTGTTAATTATGACTTAGTTGAAAGAATGTCTTAATCATTTAATAAAAAACTGACTTAATCATTAAGGGTATTTTAGGAAGTTTGGGGGAGAAGGGAGGGGAAAACATTGAAGGTAAATTGTTAGAGGAGAAATGAAAAGTAAGAAGAGGAAACTCTTCTTCTTACGGAGTATTTAGGAGCAATAAACTTAGAAATATAGAATCTTTGAAAAAATAATAATTAAAATCACTTAGAGATATGAGGCCGTTTGACAACTCTGTTTTTCGGTTTATCAGGCTCATGAGCCAACTTTTTCACCAAACACGTAATTTTTGCTTTCGCGCGCTGAATTGTGTGATAAGTAGAAAAAGTAAGGTTGAAGTTACTTTTGTGGCTGTATTGGCTGAAGTTACTGTATATGACCATTTTAGCTATTTTTACATATATTTTTTTCTTTATTTCATTAATAAAATATATTTTAATTTTTTTTCCCCTAAAATCAGCAGAATCAGCCAATGCAGTCACTTCAGTTAGAACTTCATAAATTTCAGTAGAATCAGCCAAATCAGCCAATTTTCGTGCTACTAAACGGGCTCATAGTAAATTCAAATAGCTGAACTAATATTAATTTTAAATTCGATTTATTTAATATTTAGTTAGTTTTTTTGCTGTACTTTCTCTTTTCTCATAATATTTGTTCTGTTAAATGTCAACATCCTTGACTGAGATGAATTTCGGACCTGTGACCTCCTCTTTGCGAGTGTCATTGTGATGATATTGAACCACAAGGTGCTTGACTAATATTTAGTTAGCTATCCTTCAAAATCCCTCATTTTGGAAAAACTTAAAAGTTGAGCATTTTAGGGATTTTGGAGGGTTACAAAAAACCTATTAAAATCATTCTTCCATATTTTTAAACGCCTAAACACAAATAGGAGGTCATCAATCACCACATGTCTTCTCCTCCCTCCATAAAACCAACTCCCAAACACATCCTAATTTGAAAAGTAGCAGTCA